TGGGCAGTTCTGGGAGAGAGAGGGGAAGGGTAAAGGAGAGGAAGGACATCCAGTCCACCTTCCCCCGCCCTCCCCGGGGCTCTTCCCGGACTAACCCCTGCTCAGTGGTGAAAGTAGAGAAATCTCCTTCCATGTGTCCCCCGTCTCCAGGGTGCCTGGGGAGCACAAATTTGAGGGGGTGTGGATGTTGGGGACTTCGCAGACCAAGCCAGGATAGGGATAGGGGTCCACTTTCCCCTTGGGCCAGCAGAGGTGCCAGAGCAGAGCAAACAGGAGGAAGGCTGTCACCACCAAGGTCAGGAGCAGGACCAGAACCAAGAGCGGGATGAAACTCGGCAAGGTCTGCCCAGGGACGGGCTCCGGGGTCCTCGAAGCAATGGAACTTGCTGGTGAGGTGGGCTCCTGGGAGCTAGAGGTTCCTGGGTTTCCAGGTGTGAGGGGGCACTGCTCCTTGGCAGGGACCGGCCTCTGGGGATAAGGGGTTGGAGTAAAGCAGGAGGCCACACTCCACTCCAGCCCCCTCCCAAACTACCCATACTTATCAAACCCTTTGATGGGGCCACAGCCCATCTGATGTGATACCTGATAAGGTAGTTGAGTCCCGCAAGGCCCAATTACCTTAACCTAGGACCTCCCGACTCCTGCAGGCCAGCCACCTCACTATACCACGGCCCCGCCCCTTGCCCCTTACGTAAGGCTACGCCCGCTCCCTAGATCCAGGCCCCCCATATCTGGCACGCCCTTGCCCAGTCGGGAGTCCCATCTGCAACCTCTCTGCAGCTCCACGGGGTTCTTCCCCCGCCCGCGGCGGGAGTGGGGATCGTGGCTCCGCCGCCGCAGGGGCTACATAGCTCGGCGCCGTCGGGGTTGCACCGCCCAGGAGGACACTCTCGGAACGCGGGCTTTATGATATCGCCGTGGTCATTGAGTCCGCAGTTTTCCTCGAACTCGTGGTCTAGCGGGAAAGCTGTGCTCCAGTGTAGCCGTCTAACCCCACCCTGCGCAGGCAACGCCCCTCTCCCTTCGCCCAATCCCGCCGAGCTCCGCCCCCTTACGGCGCTCCCAGCCTATCAGCGTGCGCCCCGCTCCTGTCACTTTTCTCCGGGATCTCCTCTCCATGCCCCTCCAGCTCTGCACCAAGTTCCGCCCACGCCCATTTACTCTGCATAAAGCTCAGCCTTTCTACGCGGCCCCTATCCTGCCAGTCTCCCCAGCCATATCCCTTCGCTGTTGCCCTACGGTAGCCCGCACTATCCCCTTCTGCACAAGCTCTGCCTGTCATCCCTATCTGATCTGTATAAGGCCCAACGCTTCGATCCCTAAGCAAGCCTCTCTGGCCCGTAGCCCACAGACCTTGCCCCTCCCCGCTCCGGATCACCTGCGAGCTCCGCCCAAGCAAGGCTGTGTGTTGGATTCTCACCTGGGCAGGGGGGCGGCCCGAAGCGCTGCAGGCAGACGCTGCAGCACTTGTTGTCTGGGTTCCAGTATTCAAGGCGGCCGCAGTACTGGGAGGCTTCCGGCGGTGGCGCCAGGGCCAGAAGCAGCAAGGCCGTCAAGAGGCGTAGTCCAGGCCCCATCTGGGTGGCCGTGATAGCGGGACTTCCAAAACAGCGCCTCTGCCACACTTTTCCGGGGAAACCGGGCCGAAGAAAGGACACGGTGATGTGGAGGAACAGAATTCCCACGCTCCTTCGGAAGCCGGTAAGCTATTCCCCAACTCAGCCGGTTATCAGAAAAGCCAAGGCCACAAGGGGGCTAAGAGAGCGGGATGCGGGATCTAGATTGCAAGAATGCATATCCCACCTCTGCCATGTCCTCACCTACCCACCGTCCCTTTTCCATACCTAAATGAGACAATAATAGCACCTGTCTCATAGGGTTATTGTGGGGAATTAGAACCGTTATTAGAAGTAAAACAGGCTGGGTGCGGTGGCTCACACCTGTAATCCCAACACTTTGAGAAGCCAAGGCATGCGGATCACTTGAGCCCAGAAGTCTGAGATCAGCCTGGACAACCAAATGAAACCTCGTCTCTACAAAAAATAAAAAGCACTTTACCAAGTGCAGTGCTTCATGCCTATAGTCCCTGCTACTAGGGAGGCCAAGGTGGGAGGATTGCTTGCGCCACCGATTCTAGAACAGGCTAGGCAACACAGCAAGACCTCATCGCTAAAACCAAAACCAAAAAAAAAAAAAAAAAAAAATGGCTAGGCACAGTGGCTCATGCCTGTAATCCCAACACTTTGGGAGGCTGAGGCAGGTGGATCCCCTAAGATCGGTAGTTCAAAACCAGCCTAGCCAACATGGCAAAATGCCATCTCTACTAAAAAGACATTAGCTGGGTGTGTTGGCAGGTGCCTGTAATCCCAGATACTTAGGAGACTGAGGCAGGAGAATTGCTTGAACCTAGGAGGTGGAGGTTGCAGCGGACCTAGATTGTGCCATTTCATTCCAGCCTGGTCAACAAGAGTAAAACTCCTTAAAAAAAAACAACACAACTATCAAGTTTACAAACGTTCTGGAGGAAGAAAAAAAAAAAAAAAAACTAAAGTGCTTAGAATAGCACCTGGCATATAGTAAACTTAATTTGTCAGGCATTACTAACTCCCATCTCAATTCAGCAGGCAACAGAGGAGCCAGCCCATGCCCAGTTTATCCACATAAAGCCCACCCTTTCCATATGGTCCCTATCCCACCTCTCCAGCCATATCCCTTCTCTGTTGCCCTATGGTAGCCCACCCTATCCCTTTCTGCACAGGCTCTGCCTGCCATCCCTATCTGATCTGCATAAGGCCCACCACTTCGATCCCTAAGCAAGCCTCTCTGGCCAGTAGTCATCAGACCAGCCCTTACTGGCTGGAGACCACCTCCCAGCACCTCACCTCACCTTTGAATCCTAATCTAATCGGGGCTAGGACTCCTCCCATGTGCCACAACCAGATCTCTCCCCCTTGAAGAAGTCTCAGATGGAGGTGCTAAGGTTTCCAGCACAAAGGTATCCCCACCCTACCAGTGCTGTTAGGGTCCCGGGTCCCAAGCTGGCCGTTCCAACTTCCTCAGTTGAAGCTGTGGCCGGAACCCCAATGTCGTTTCCCCCTTTCGTCACATGTGTGGGTGGAAGGAAATGTCAATTCGATTGCTATGGTTTTACAACGAAGAAAAATTCACTGTATGGTACTTTAAGAGAGGGGCGGTAGAAGAAGGTCTCCATCTTGAGCAGATTACATTATGAAGCCCGGGAGCCTGGGAAAGACAGGGCAGGAAAGTGAAGGGGGCTTTGAGGAGAGGTCCTGCCAGGAACATCTGTTCCTGTGGGTGGCAAAGGGTAAGGCGGCCAGGTCCTCAGAAGCGGCCATGCCGGTGATCTGGGGAATGCCAGCAGTTTCTCTCTCGAGGACGGTGGCCAGTATGGGACCTTGGCGGTGACCTGGGAATAGGAGTCTTGAGAGTTGGGTTGGAACCCTGAGGAGTGGTGCAGAGATCCGCAGGCCTGCCTCTCTGCTCTGGGATGAGGCAGGAGGATGCTGAAACAACTAGAGTTCTAAGACATGGCCCAGAATAGGCACTCAGTGGCCAATATCAGGGGTGGCAATCCAGGCTGGTCTTGGATTAGGGGTTCAGGCTGGTTTGGGGATGGGGACTTAGGTACTGGTCTCCAGATGGGGCTCAAAACTACACTTAGGGTATAAGAGTCTTGGGCAGGCATCCGAAAACTACGGCCCGCGGCCCCCTGAGGCCATTTATCTGGCCCCCCACCACACTTCAGGAAGGGGCACCTCTTTCATTGGTGGTCAGTGAGAGGAGCACAGTATGTGGCGGCCCTCCAACAGTCTGAGGGACAGTGAACTGGCCCCCTGTGTAAAAAGTTTGGGGACGCCTGGTCTTGGGAATGACCAGGCGCAGTGGCTTAAGCCTATAATCCCCATACTTTGGGAGGCCGAGATGGGCGGATCACCTGAGGTCAGGAGCTCATGACCAGCCTGATCACCCTGCTAAAACCCCATCTCAACTGAAAATACAAAACATAACCGGGTGTGGTGGTGGGTGCCTGTAATCCCAGCTAAGGTGAATTGGTTGAAGCTGGGAGTCAGAGGTTGCAGTGAGCTGAGATGGCACCATTGTACTCCAGCCTGGGGAAGAACAGCAAAACTCCATCTCAAAAAAAAAAAAAAAAAAGTGTTGGCTGAGCGTGGTGGCTCCCACCTGTAATCTCAGCACTTTGGGAGATCGAGGCAGGTAGATCACAAGGTCAGGGGTTCAAGACCAGCCTGACCAAGATGGTGAAACCCGTCTCCGCTAAAAATACAAAAATTATCCGGGCATGGTGGCAGGTGCCTGTAATCTCAGCTACTCGGGAAGCTGAGGCAGAGAACTGCTTGAAACCAGGAGGCAGAGGTTGCACTGAGCTGAGACCGTGCCATTGCACTCCAGCCTGGGGAGGAAGAGCAAAACTCCATCTCAAAAAGAAAGAGTCTTGGGGATGTTGTTACTGGGGCTTAGGGTCAGGCTCATCTGAGGACATAGGACCCTTTTGGCACGAGGAGACTTAGCAGGCTCGTCCCAAGGTACCTGCACCTGGGTCCCCACCCATAGAGCTGCTGCCTGAGGTTTCGGGAAATGGGCCGCAGATGCATGAAGTTGCAGAAGCCACCTTGGGTACATTCCCTGCATAGACGGCAGAGATATGGAGGAGGCCACTGTCATGACAGCCCCTACCACACATACAAAGTCTGGGATTCCAAGTGTCCATCCCACCCTTGAACTACCACACCCCATCTCATACTGGTGACAGCATGACTCCCAGAAGTCGGTGACAGGAGACAGCTTGGCGTGCACACCTTGCCCATTGAACCACCGGTTATGGAGTTCAGCCACAGCCCGCTCTGCATCCTCCTCCCGCCGGAACTGCAGGAAACGTCAGTCAGGGTCAGCAGGAGAACTCAGAGATCTTCAGGGGACTCATTAGCAGCTCTGGGGCTGGACCGGATTTAGTGATGAACTTCAAGCTGAGAGGCTTCAGTGGCGACCATCAGGCATTGAAATCCCTCCACCTCTGGGCCCTAAGCCGGGGACAGCAAGCACCTTGACATAGATGTTGCCCACGAGGTGGTTCCTAAGGTTGTCGTACACATTCATCTCTTCGATCTCCCCATACTTCTCCTGCAGTTCCGTGAACACCTCCTGTGGAAGACGGGAGAGGAACTCAGCTGAGCTCCCACAAGAAACCCAACCTACCCCTGCCAACCCTCACTTCGAAGAAGCTATCATAGTGCTGCTGCAGCTCCACGTCGCTCACATGACCTGGGGGAGGGGGCAGGGTGGAATCAGGGCCTAGCTTGCTGGGGGCTGCCCACCTAGCCCGAAGGCCTGGTCCCTTACTCACAGTGTGATCCGTCTGCATTTTGGGCTGTGTTCTGTGGATTCCGATACAGGTTGAGCAGCACTATGGTCTGCACAGAATTTAAAAAGGGCGGGGCCTGAGATCAGAGGCCAGGGCTGCATGCAAACAGAGTGAGGCATGAAGGTTGGGGGTGGAACCTTGCACCCCAGAAGGAGCCTAAGCATCATGAGTGCATCGGCGATCCTTTACCCTAGGAACAGAAACAGGATGGAGGGGACTGGCAAGGACGAACAGCTAAGGTGTGTAGACTGTACCTAAGGGGGCGCGGCCAAGTTCCCGGGAGACAGGTATTAAGGCTGGGGGGAGGAGACTGCAAAAAGGGCCAATGAGAAGAAAGCCGGGCGGTGCGGGGGTGGGAAGGGCCTCAGGAACCCGGAATAGGCGGGATCTGGCGACGACTGCCCCAGAAGGGTAAAGGCCGGGAGGCGTTAACCACCGGGGCTCACCACCGGCTCTCACCTGGCTGAAAGTCGGCTTGTTGTGAAGCCGGGAGCATCGGTCCCCGTGCCGGCAGGCCCCGATCTTAAGGTAAAAAGAGCAATTAACCCTGGAAGAAGTGCAAAGAGGTACACAAAGGGCCGGGGAGGTCGGACACCCCAGAAACACCTTCCTCATCCAGGACCCTAGTGCCCCGGCAGGCCCCGATCCCGACCCCTCGAGAGTCCACTCCCAGCCCCGTTCTCACTTGTCCTTCTCAGTCCCGAATATCGAAGCTAAATATTCAGCTATTTTTACCCGAGCCCTCTAGCTCTGGCTGCGCTACGTCACTTCCGTTCCCTATGAGCGCTGGGAAGTGTAGTTCGTTGCCCCCTCCAGGAGCTTACCAAGCGCTGGGAAACGCCCCAGGGCGCTTGCGCGTGGGAGGTGCGCGCCCTCCCCGCAGACTCCCCGGCAGGAGTTCTCCCAACAGCGCCTGCGTGCAGTATAGCCTCGCCCAAAGAAGACTACAATCTCCAGGGAAACCTGGGGCATCTTGCGCAAACGTCCATAACTGAAAGTGGCTAAGGCATCCCAGCCGGAGGAAGTGAGCTCTCCTGGTGAGTTGGGGGTCGTTTAGCCCACCCTAGTAAATAAAAAGAAAGAGCTCTTTCACCCAGCCAGCTTGCTAGTCGGGGCGAGGATGCCCTGCTTGCGCAAACCCACCTTTACATTTATCTCTGATTTGTCGTAATAGGGTGTGGTTGTTCGTGATCCTTGCATCTATTACTTAGGGTCAAGGCTTGGGTCTTGCCCCGCAGACCCTTGGGACGACCCGGCCCCAGCGCAACTATGAACCTGGAGCGAGTGTCTAATGAGGAGAAGTTGAACCTGTGCCGGAAGTACTACTTGGGTAAGGGCAGATCGCTAGAGTCCCAGGAGAAGAGAGGGGACTGGACTAGAGCACTCGAGGGGAAAAGGGCCTTGGGGCCTGGATTCATGAATCTAAGAGACGAAGCACCTGCGAACGCCTACTCCTGGGTTTGAGTGGGGAGGGCCGGGGTCCTGAGGAACGAGGAAGCTTGGGCCTCAATTTCTGGATCCCAAGAGAGGAGGGGAATTGAGGGCCTGGACTCTTGGGTCCTGCGAACGACGTGATTGAGGAATCAGATTCCTGGATCCCAAGGAGGGGCCGATTCCTGAATCCCTGACAGCAGAAATCTCCATTGAACTTGGGTGTGAGAGAGTTTCTTCCAAATAGATCTTCTAAGTGGGAATTGCAGAAGATCCTCATTGCCTTGTGAGGTTTTTGGTTTTGTTTTCTTTTTCCCTAGGTGGATTTGCTTTCCTGCCTTTTCTCTGGTTGGTCAACATCTTCTGGTTTTTCCGAGAGGCCTTCCTTGTCCCGGCCTACACAGAACAGAGCCAAATCAAAGGCTGTGAGTCTAGAACACAGAGGAGGGAGACCAGTGGCTGGGGAGAGGGGGAAGGGGAGGCCCACCTTGGCCTCCCAAAGAATTCTGGGGCTCTGGGTGAGAAGGGAAGGCTGATCTAGGGAAGTCTGGAGAGCAGCTGGGAGGCAAACCCTTCCCACTTCTGTTTCCCATGACAGATGTCTGGCGCTCAGCTGTGGGCTTCCTCTTCTGGGTGATAGTGCTCACCTCCTGGATCACCATCTTCCAGATCTACCGGCCTCGCTGGGGTGCCCTTGGGGACTACCTCTCCTTCACCATACCCCTAGGCACACCCTGACAACTTCTGCACAGGCTGGGGCCCTGCTCATTCTCCCACAACAGGCTTATTAGACCAGAGGAGCCTGTCCTGGGACCCTCTTCTCAAACCCCTAAGACGTTTTCATCTCCTGTGTTCTCTGCTGACATCCCCCAATAAAGGACCCTAACTTTCCATACTGACTTCCTGGGATCTTTTAGAGGTTGAGGCATAAATTGCTTATTAATATTTAAAAACATCTGTTGAGTGCTTTCTTTTTGCCAGGCTTAGTATTTAGACATGATGTACATTTTTTCCAGTGCATACTGTTCATAATCTTCTGAACCAGGAACTTTCCTGCTCAGGAAACTATTAGATGAGGAAGTAAGAAAGAAATAGTGCTTCCATTTCTTTCTTTTCTTTTCTTTTTTTTTTTTTTTGGGAGATGGGTGTCTGTTAGCCAGGCTGGAGTGCAATGGCACAGTCTTGGCTCACTGCAACCTCCGCCTCCCAGGTTCAAGTGATTCTCCTGCCTCAGCCGGGCGAATAGCTGGGATTACAGATGCACGCCACCACGTCCAGCTAATTTTTTGTATTTTTAGTAGAGATGGGGTTTCACCATGTTAGTCAGACTGGTCTCAAACTCCTGACCCCAGGTGATCCACCCGCCTCGACCTCCCAAAATGCTGGGATTACAGGCTTGAGCCCTCATGCCTAGTTTAGTGTTTCCATTTCTAGAGGTTGTTATCCTGTACTGGTAGTGGTGAATTCAAAAGCCTAACTTTCCTACTGTGGGCTTCAGTATTCTTATCAGAAGTGTAGATCAGGAATCCTGCCTCCTAGGATTTATCTGGGCCAAGACTTGATAAATGGAAGTTTCCTATTTTCTGAAGGAAATGTTGTCTGCAAAAATAAAAGTAGTCGAGAGCTTTTTCATGGAATCCTTCCTTGGCCATCCATCTTTGTTTGTTTGTTTGTTTGTTTGTTTGAGATGGAGTCTCACTGTGTTGCCCAGGCTGGAGCCTCCACCTCTTGGGTTCAAGTGATCCTCCTGCCTCAGCCTCCCAAGTAGCTGGCATTACAGGCATGCGCCACCATGCCCGGCTACTTGGCCATCCATCTAATTTAAAATTCAACAATCACCTTGATATTGTTACATCCCTTTCAGGCTATGCTGTTTTGTGTGTATGGAGGAGGGGGCGGTGAGGGGGTTGTTTGGGTTTTTTTGTTTGTTTTTCGAGATGGAGTCTTGCTGTCGCCTAGACGAGTGCAGAGGCGCGATCTTGGCTCACGGCAACCTTCACCTCTCGGGTTCAAGCAATTCTTTTGCCTCAGCCTCCTGGGTAGCTGGGATTACAGGCGCGTGCCACTACGCCCGGCTAATTTTTGCATTTTTTGTAGAGACGGGGTTTCACCATGTTGGCCAGGCTGATCTCGAACTCCTGGTTGCAGGTGATCTGCCCGCCTCGGCCTCCCAAAGTGCTGGGATTTACAGGCGTGAGCCAGTGTGCCCCGCCCAAACTATTCTTTCTCCTATTACATTTCACTTTAAATGTTTTATTTGTTTACTGTTTCTCTTCCATCCTTTAAAAGATAAGCTCCATTAGGGCAAGGATTTTTGTCTGTTCTGTTCCTCGAGGTGTCTCCAATGCCTAGAAGAGTGCCCGGCACACAAATATTTGCAAAATGAATGAAGTTGTACCTGCAAAGAGATTAGCAGTTACCTGGCACCTAGCGAGTGCTCAGTGAGAGGGAACCCAACATTATTTTACATTAGTCTTCCTCTCAGGAATGGAGAGACCCCAACGGTTGCTTAAATCCGGTAAAGAACTAAATTGGTGGTGCTCAAGTCTTCTAACACTACAAAAATCCCAGGAAGCCTCGCGATGCCTTAATTCTTTCTTTCCCACCGTGCCCCGCGCGGCGCAGGCGCTGTTACTCAAGGTGAGTCTCGGGAGCTGAAACTTACACCTCCCAGGAAGCTGAAACTACACCTCCCAGGAAGCTGGGCGGTCGATGGTTTGTTTCCGGCAGCAAAGCCCCAGGAAGGTGGGATCTAAAGCTGGTGGCCTACGGAGGAAGCTCTTAATTGGTCAGGATGCGAGACTGACGGCTGCATTAACTAATAAAAAAGAGATACTGCCCGCCCACAGAAGGGAGGAGGCCACGATACAAGCTGTACACGACCGAAGGCGCAGGACCCGTGAGTCGTGAAGCTAATTTTTGAACTGTCTCCCCACGCCTCCCGCCTTGATTTGTGATCCTAGGCTCTTTGGGGCTCGTCTGACCCAGCTAGCCAGATCCTGGACCCAAACCATGTTCCCCGTGAAGGTGAAAGTGGAGAAATCAGGTGAGGACCCCGACGTCGGGGGCCTGTTAGGAGCATCGGGTTGACAGTGTGGGGGTCCCGTAGAAGGGAGTATTGCGGAAATGGGACAGCGCGACTTCTTCCTGCAGCCACCTGACAATCGCTGTATCAGGCGGCGAGCGTTGGCTGCCACCCTCACCCCTGCTGGGTCTGTGCTTGAAGTCGCCTTGAGATTGAATGATGGTGGCTCAGGCAGTACGGTGCGTGGTAAGACCTGGGGAATCCTGAGCCAGTAACTCTAAGAAGGGCTCTTTTCTTTCCTCTTTTTTATTTAACATTTTAAAATATTTAAGTAGAGATGGAGGATCGCCATGTTGCCCAGGCTGGTCTCGAACACTGGCCTCAAGCAATCGTCCCGTCTAAGCCTCCCAAAGTGTTGGGATTACAGGCGTGAGCCCCGGCGCCCGGCCGAAAAGTCCGCTTTTCTTGGCTCCCCCTCAGTTTCTCCATTTCCAGCAGTGGTCAGAGTCACACATCTTGCTGTGCGCCTGAAGTATAGGCACTGTTAATCCTCACAGTCACTATATTCCAGTAATCCTAGGAAGTAGGAATTGTGGTCGATGGGGAAACTGAAGCTCAGAAAGAGGTCATTTTGAGTTGGGCCAGAGCTGACGGGATCCCAGGCCTGGCATGGTGAGAGCAGTGGGAGGGGTGCAGAATTTAGACAGAAATATAATAGTAAAATGATGTAAGATGTCAAGAGAGCAAAAGTGTTATCAAAACGAAGTGGGAGGCCGGGTGCGATGGCTCGTGCCTGTAATCCCATCACTTTGGGAGCCTAGGGCCTACAGATCACTTGAGGTTAGGAGTTTGAGACCAGCCTGGCCAACATGTTGAAATGCTATCTCTATTTTAAAAATGCAGAAAAGGCCGGGCGCGGTGGCTCAAGCCTGTAATCCCAGCACTTTGGGAGGCCGAGGCGGGTGGATCACGAGGTTGAGAGATCGAGACCATCCTGGTCAACACGGTGAAACCCCGTCTCTACTAAAGGTGCAAAAAATTAGCTGGGCATGGTGGCACGTGCCTGTAATCCCAGCTACTCAGGAGGCTGAGGCAGGAGAATTGCCTGAACCCAGGAGGCGGAGGTTGCGGTGAGCCGAGATCGCGCCATTGCACTCCAGCCTGGGCAACAAGAGCGAAACTCCGTCTCAAAAAAAAAAAAAAAAAAAAAAAAAAAAAAAAAAATGCAGAAAATAGGATTTCAACGTGAATTTTTAAAAAAGAGCAAAAAGGAAAAAATTGCCAGGTGTGGTGGCATGAGCCTGTAGTCTCATCTACTCAGGAGGCTGAGGCAGGAGGATCGCTGGAGCCGGGGAGGTACAGGTTGTAATGAACTGAGATCACACCATTGCACTCCCCCAGTGAGCTAAGATCACACCATTGCACTCCAGCCTGGGTAACAGAGTGAGACCCTGTCTCAAAAAAAAAAAAAAAAAAAAAAGGAACGAAAGAAAAATGAAGGGAGTCTGACTACAGATGATGGTGAGGGAAGGTGTACACCTGTGAGTACCGGTCTGAGAAGTGCAGACTCCACCCCTGGGTGCTGTGGAGTCATGGAAGTTTCCAAGCAGGGGAAGATCAGGGTCAAGTTTGTTATTTTTCAGGAAGATTCCCCTGGCCACCTGTGGAGAGTGGATCAGAAGGGAAACTGAGGCAGGGAGCCCAGGGGGAGCAAAGGACAGGACCAGGATAGGTAGAGTAGGGAGGAGGTGGGTGGGAGAGACACTCGGGAGGCCGAGTGGACAGGCCATGGGTTGATGGGTTGAGGTAGGGGAGAGAGAAGGGTATCCATGGTGAGGCACAGGGAGGGACTTGGGGGACAGTGAGGCCACCCTTCAGACAGAGGCTTCAGGCCCAGGTTGACGGTTCAGGAGAGAAGCTGGGCCTGGGGAGAGTTGTGGGCGTGATCTCTATCCTCTGCATCCACCCAAGGCTTTGCTGCAATCTCAGCTGCCCCCTTCCCCACCCTCATGCTGTCTCTCCTCTGAGTTATGTCTGGATCCCTATGTCTCCTGGGCTTCTCAAGAAGCCCCAGGACTGACCAGGCAATTTCCCAGGTGTCCCCTCCAGGTTCTGAGCACTAGAGTCAGAGTTCCCAGCAGTCAGAAGGGCAGAGCAAATACCCCTCAAAGGTAGGAGATCGTAATATCCAGTTCTGTGGTGACGGGAGGTAGCCACAGGCTGACAGGACAGGAAGGTGGGCCTAGATCTCATTTCCTGAGAGGAGAAAGAAAAACCCAAACAGGATGTTTTAGGTGGAATCTCCCAATTTTTAAATGTCAGCTCATTCAGATTTAATTCAGATTTAAAATTATACCACTGTTTGGCCAGGCACGGTGGCTCACGCCTGTAATCCCAGCACTTTGGGAATCAGAGGCAGGCGGATCACAAGGTCTGGAGTTGGAGACCAGCCTGATCAACATGGTGAAACCCCGTCTCTACTAAAAATACAAAAATTAGCCAGGTGTGGTGGCACACGCCTGTAATCCCAGCTACTCAAGAGGCTGAGGCAGGAGAATTGCTTGAATCCGGGAGGCAGAGGTTGCAGTGAGCCGAGATGACACCACTGCACTCCAGCCTGGGTGACAGAGCAAGACTCTGTCTTATAAAAAAATAAATACATTAATTAATTAAACAAAATTATACCACTACCTCAGCCAGATTTGCACTCAGGTTGAGCCTCTGCCTCATAACTTCAGCTTTGAAAACAGCCAGCCTGGGTTCAAATCATCAGCTCTGCAATTTCTTTGCTGTGTGCCTTTGAGCAAGTGGCCTGACATCTCTGTGCCTCAGTTTTTGTTTTTTTTTTTTAAAGACAGGTTTCACCATGTTGGCCAGTCTGGTCTTGAACTCCTGACCTCAGGTGATCTGCCTGTCTCCGCCTCCCAAAGTGCTGAGATTATAGGCATGAGCCACCACGCCCGGCCACATCACTTTCATCAGCTATAAAATAGGAATAAAAATCATATCTATCTGAGCCGGGCTCTGTGGCACATGCCTATAGTCCCAGCTACTTGGGAGACTAAGACAGGAGGATCACTTGAGCCCAGGAGTTCAAAACCAGTCTGGACAACATCATGAGATCCTGCCTCAAGAAAAAAAAAAAAATCAATCTACCTCTAAGGGTTATTGTGAGAATTCAGTGGGTTATTACGTGTGATACATAAGCCTATTTAAAGCTTGCCACTGGGCCAAGTGCGGTGGCCTGCACCTGTAATCCCAGCACTTTGGCAAGCCAAGATAGCTCATTTCAGTCCAGGAGTTCAAGACCAGCCTGGTCAACATCCTGAGATTCCATCTCTATGCAATTTATAAAAAAATAAATTTATATTACATTAAAACAAAATTTTTTTTTTTTTTTTTTTTTTTTTTTAGACGGAGTTTCTCTCTTGTTACCCAGGCTGGAGTGCAATGGCGCGATCTCGGCTCACCGCAACCTCCGCCTCCCGGGTTCAGGCAATTCTCCTGCCTGAGCCTCCTGAGTAGCTGGGATCACAGGCACACGCCACCATGCCCAGCTAATTTTTTGTATTTTTAGTAGAGACGGGGTTTCACCATGTTGACCACGTTGGTCTCGATCTCTTGACCTTGTGATCCACCCGCCTCGGCCTCCCAAAGTGCTGGGATTACAGGCTTGAGCCACCGCGCCCGGCCTAAAAAAAATTTTTTTGAGACGGAGTTTTGCTCTTATTGCCTAGGCTGGAGTGCAATGGTGCGATCTCAGCTCACCACAACCTCCGCCTCCTGGCTTCAACCAGTTTTCCCGCCTCAGCCTCCTGAGTACCTGGAATTACGGCTAATTTTGTATTTTTAGTAGAGATGGGGTTTTTCCATTTTGGGCAGGCTGCTCTCGAACTGCTGACCTCAAGGTGATTCACCCACCTCATCCTCCCAAAGTGCTGGGATTACAGGCATGAGCCACCGTGCCCGGCCCTAAAACAAATTTTTTTTAAACCCAGGGCTCCTAAGATAAGGTGATTGGCCTTACCTCCTACACAGAGTGATTATGCGTGACAGCTCTGGAACTCAGAGCTCTTGGCATCGCTCCAGCCATCTCTGTCTGCTGCACCCTTTCAGGCTGCCTGGGCCTGGCTCTGAGATTGGCTGGGGCAGAGGACACGCATGCCCTTCCCTGGCCCAGTCAGCTGCCCACCTAGCTGGGGCCTAGGAGCTGACTCCTGCTGGGTCCCCTCTTGCTTCAGAGCTGGAGATGGCCAAAGCCCGGAACCAACTGGACGCCGTCCTGCAGTGTCTGCTGGAGAAGAGTCACATGGACAGGTGGGCCAGCTTGGGGTCAAGGCCCAGGCACCCTGGCAGGTCAGGCCCTCTGATCCTGGGTGGATTGGGTGGGACCCCAGAGGCTGATATGGGGAGGAAGGTAGGTGATGGAGAGGCCGCTCGGTGCCTGCCTTCTCTGGGGCCCTGGAACCCTAGGCTGAGAGATCTCCTCTGCCTCTAGGGAGCGTCTGGATGAGGAAGCTGGGAAAACCCCCTCAGACACCCACAATAAGTGAGTTTTTCTGACTGGATGTGGAGCTGAGAGTTGGTGGTTGGTAACTTTTTCCCTTACCCAAGCCCTGACCACTCTGCCCGGTGCTTCCTCCATCTTGGTCCTGACCAGTTCACCTGTATGAAGACCCTGCGTCAGGAGCAGCTTAGGTCCCCTTGTGGTTGCCACCTAGACCCCCATGGGTATGGGTGGGATAAAAGGCCCAAGGGCCAAGTGGGGTTAATGTGAGTATCTCAGGTTTGATACCAGTGTCCCCAGGGTGCCCTCTGCAGGGTTTTGCACAAGCATTTGTCTGAGGGTCAACTTTCTTTCCCCACAGGGACTGCTCCATTGCAGCCACTGGCAAAAGGTAAGGTGACAGGGTCCCAGCCAGCTGACCAGAGGCTCCCAGCCCCGACCCCAGTCCTGACACTCCCCCTCCCTACGCAGGCCTTCTGCCCGCTTCCCCCACCAGCGGAGGAAGAAGAGGAGGGAAATGGATGACGGGCTGGCTGAGGGAGGGCCGCAGCGATCCAGTGAGTTGACAATGGCCCTAGAGGGTAGGCAAGGAGCCAGGGGACTGTGCAAGGATGCTTACACACCTCCCCTCCCCACCCTCCCAGACACATATGTGATCAAGCTGTTCGACCGGAGTGTGGACTTGGCCCAGTTCAGTGAGAACACGCCGCTCTACCCGATCTGCCGTGCCTGGATGCGAAACAGCCCCTCTGTGCGCGAGCGTGAATGCTCTCCCAGCTCACCCCTGCCCCCGCTGCCTGAGGATGAGGAGGTGGGATGGGTGGTGGGCCCCAGCCCAGCAGCCTGATGCCAGGGCAATGGGTGGATAGGCTCAAAGGATCCTCCCCATAAGCTAGTGGGGTAGACGGGCACAGGTCCCTCACATGAATGCTGGATCAGGCCAGGCACACAGATGTGCACCCTTAGCCTGGGGTGTGGATGGAGGTCCCTAGGGAAGACATACGTAGCCACCTGGCCTGGGGGACAGGGAACAGGGTTGCCCTGGGTAGTTAGATATGAATCTCCAAGGTCAGGGGTTCCCAAGAGCCGAGGGGTTAGACAGGGGTCCTTAGTACCAACCTGCTGGCCACCAGGCCTTGGGGAGCAGATGGGCTGGGCAGGAATGGATGGGGGTCTGTAAGCCATCTGGCCCAGGAGGGTAGACAAGGGTCCCCAGGACAGACATATTAGGACCCTTCACACTGTCAAGAGTGGACAGAGCTTCCTAGGTGGCACAGATGTGACCCCTCGTCAGGATTCCCTGAGGCAGGCAGACATGACTCCCTGGGCTGACAGGTGTAGATGGGGTCTCTGGGCTGGATAGGAGAAGACAGGGGTCCCTGGGACAGGCAGACCTGACCCCTGGCTGGTTGAGATGTCTGCCCTTCAGACATGCCCGCTGTCTGAGTCACTTAGTGAGCCCCTCATGCTGTTTGTTGCTGGGAAAGGTAGGAGGGATGAATGTGGATTCCCAGCCCTCTGCTCTGACTCTCTTGGGCCTGGCTTGGGGCCCTTGTGTCCCCAGGGTTCAGAGGTCACCAACAGCAAGAATCGTGATGTGTACAAGCTGCCGCCCCCCACACCGCCTGGGCCACCCGGAGATGCCTGCAGATCCCGCATCCCATCTCCGCTGCAGCCTGAGATGCAGGGCACCCCTGATGACGAGGTGAGTGCGCCAGGCTGGCTCGAGGTTGTGGGGCACATGTGGTGGGGCTCAGACCTGACCACTCAGCCTGGCCTCTCTGTCCACACAGCCCTCCGAGCCCGAGCCCTCACCCTCCACACTCATCTATCGCAACATGCAGCGCTGGAAACGCATCCGCCAGAGGTGAGCGTCCCCCAGCCTGCTTGCACCTCCTAGGGCCTCTTGCAACTGCTGAGTCTTCCCTCTGCCTCCCCAGGTGGAAGGAGGCCTCTCATCGGAACCAGCTTCGTTACTCAGAAAGCATGAAGATCCTACGGGAGATGTATGAGCGACAGTGATGTTCCCAGCTCCCCCCACACCAGTAAACGTCTCCCAACTCCACACTGGTGACTGTTCCGGTTCATCCTTCCTGGCCCAGACGCAAAGCAGTTGGCAGAGCTCCAGCAAATTTATTGGGAGAGTGAGCCTGGGAAAGTGACAGAGTGGTGGCAGGGAGAAAGGCTGTGGGGAATCAGAGGGGGTGCTCAGGTTGGGTCTTGAAGGAGAAGAAGAGGGTAGGAGGTGGGTTGCCAAGGAGATTTCGTGTTGGAGACTTGGGGATCAAGACAAAGGGATGGGGTGGGGGGTCTAGTCAGAGTTGGGGAAGGGGCCTAGGACATCCGTGCAGAGTCTGGGAAGGTTGGGGCAGGAGAGTCTGTACAATTTGGGGTTGGGTGTTCTGGTTGGCCTGGGATAGGTGTCCAAGAGTTGGGGCAGTCAGAAAAGAGTTCCAGAGCCCGGTGAGGCTGGCTGGAGTCTTATGGCAGAAAATGGGCTGGAGGGGCCAGTTATGGATTGTCTGGTTGCAGGGGAAGGATTGGGTCTTGAGAACCAGACCCGGATGATCTGGAGTGGGAGGTCTGTGCAGTCCAGGACATTTGTGGCGTGGAGGGATTGTGCCTGACTGTCCTGGGGTTGGGGGAGGGCTATCTACACCATAATTTGGCGTCAAAGTAGGGAAGGGATGGAAATGTGGTACCCGGATATCTTTGTACTAAGAAGGAAGTAGAGCAGCTGTTTTAAGTGGGGCTGTATGCCAAGAAAGTGGGTCGGTGGGGCTGAGACTGTCGGCTGAGGGTTAGGGGAGTGCTGGTAGGGTCTGAAAGCCAGGGAAGTGTCAGTGTGAAGTCTTGAAAGCTAGAGAGGGTGTGACAGTGAGGGTGTCAGAGGAAGGGGCTAGGTTATCAAGGCAGTGTCTAGGGCGGAGGTCAGGGCAGAATCCAGGAGCTGGCTGAGAGGACCGTCCTGGGCGCGATCAGGACATCTGGCTGGGCGGAGTCAGGTCAGCTTTAAAAGAGGGAGCCTGAGGAGGCTCCCGGGGTGCGGCCGTGGCCCCGCCCCCTACTTGGCGGCGGCCGGTGGTGGTAGTGGGGCCTGGGCCGACGCTGGTGCGGCCTGGATGGACAGGACGCCCTCAGGGGACAGCGCGGACGTCACGGCAGCCGGATCCACGCCAGGCGGCAGGCGGTAGCGGCGGTGGAACTCGCGCGAGACGAATCCGTGCTCATCCTGGAGGGGAGGGAGGCTTGAGCGGCCCCGCCCCTCAGGCTCGGCGGCGCGCGTGCCCGCTCTAGCCCCGCCCCCGCCGCGGCTCACCGGGCGCTCTTCGTGGCGCGCGTGCACCTCCACGTGTTCGCCCACCACCTTGACGGCGATTTCCTCCGGCGAGAAGTGCTTCACGTCTAGCAGCACCGAGAAATGTCCGGGGTCCGTCGGCACCTGCGCGCAGCGAGAGCGGGTGGGACTGTCATCGAGCCATACCAGGCTCGCGGGACTCACCCAGGGAAACCGTACCCCCATCGGTTCCGTGCTGCAGCTCACTCTGGCCTCCCGAGCTCAGCAATCTGCTCTCCTACTGGGAATCACCCAGGACCTCTTCACCCCGAATAACGGGGATTAGCCCTCCTCCTGTAATATCTGAGATTGCCCTCTCCCCCGCAGTGATGAGGCTCCCTTCCCCTGCAAGGTCAGGAACCTCCGCCCTTCCCCGGTGTCAGGGAATCCGAAGTCACCATGCACCCCAGGGCACTGATTCCCCAGCTCCCTCTTCAGAGCCCCGGGTCCTTTCTCCCCCAGCCCCGACAAACTCCCCAAGATGCCCCTTCCCCCGTCTCCAGAATCCTCTGCCTACTTTCCCACTCGGGTCAAGAAACCTCGGCAGCGGACTGGTAGCCTTCCCCCACTTCAGAGTGGCCAGGACCCCGTTCCTCAAGTCTCAGGGCTTTTCCCCCCTCTTCTGGAGACATGGAGCCACCGCATACAGTCTCTCAACTCTTCCCCATGACTAGGAACATTCCTTCCCCTCGGGCGGCCTTTTTACCCAGATTTCCCGGGTCACCAGCCTCCTTCAGATTCAGCAAAACTCCCCTTAGAGCGACCCAAGCCTTTCACTCCCTGGAGAGCTAATGAGACACCGCCCCCACCCCACCCGCGACACACACACCTAAGAGCGACCGGGACCTCCCACCCAACGCAGTGAGCGGGCCTCTGGGATTCCCAGGAACTCCGGAAGCCCCTCGGAGCTGCTGGACTCTCCACCCTGCCCAAGGCCAACGAACATTCTGTCACACACCCCCACCCCAGGCTGACCCAGACCCCCCCGGCATTGCTCGAGTTCGCTTCTCCCCAGGCCTGGCACCTGGGCGACCGGCAGCGCCACGCTGGGTGCGCGCAGGTAGTAAGGGGCGAGGGTGGTGGGGCAGAGCGCAGCTAGTTCGGCCTCCAGCAGCCCCTCCCCGAAGCGCTGGTCAAAGAGGCGTCCGGGCGCCGAAAGTCCGGGCAGTGGGGCCGAGGCGCGGCGCAGCCAAGACGGCTGCACAGGCACCGGGATCTCCATCCTCCTCCTCGCGTTGCAGTGCCCCTGCGTGCGCAGCCGCTGATTTATAGTGAGCCCTGTGCCGGCCCCTCGGAGGGCTGCCCAGGGACACTGGGACCGTGGCCAGACTCAGCCATTAGGAGAGCCTTATTTAGAAACCCAAACAATGACTTCGCCATTTATTAAGCGCCTGCTGAATGCCTGGCAAGGCTGTCAAGAAGGTGTCATGAAGATTCCCCAATTTCCAGAGTGGAAACTAAGGCTGAGGTGGGGGGTGGGGGCTTGCCGGTGTGGGGAGCACAGCGCTGTCACTGGGGACCAGGGCCCAAGAGGCCCATGGAAGAGTTTCCAGTCCCTTTAATCCACTGCCGCCCTCCTGGCAACTCTGAGGATGACGCAGATGGAGGTCTCAGGAGCAGATTCCTGGAGAATGCGGTAGCCTGGCCAGGATGTCAGGAGGACATAGAACAGGTCCTCCTACTGTCATCCTCAGCCGGGCCTTGGGCCCAGTCTCCCGGCAGGCCGGGCCTAATTCTGTGCCTCTGACTCAGCCTCAGGTGCGCAGCGGCCAGGGGGCATGAGCATGAACAGTTTAGGCTGGCCCCCCGGGGCTGCGCCCTGGGGCTCGAAATAGCTCATTTTGATCCTGCTACCTCGGCCAGGAGCCCAGACCTGGCAACCGATGCAACCAGCTGCTCCTGCAGCAAGAAGGAAGTGATTAGATGACAATCGGGATGAACTGATTGGCCCAACTGATGGAGGAATGGCGGTCAGAGACGGGGAAGAGTCCCCGCATTGTCCCTGCAACTGAAAGAACGGTAATTAGACCGGAGTCGGGACAGGATTTCTGCAACAAAAAGTTTTTTAAAAGCCGGACTTTTAAGGGAAGATACTTTAGATCACCTCCTAACTGCAAGCCCAGCCTCAAATCCTTCCCATTGGTGCAAGGCCTTGCCAATCACTGTTACACGCTGCAGGTTCTCCAATCAAAGGCGCTCTGTCGGGCAGGCAGGCGTTCCAACCAATCGCGAGACACCTCCTTCCTACTTTTATTCCCTCTCTTTCATTGGTGGCCTTGGAGGCCGCTTGCTTCCTGCGCGGGCACTAAGAGGGGCGGACTGATAGGGCGTTGCTAAGCGACGGAGATGCGCACGGGGCCTGTTTGGTGAAGGAGCAGAGCAGGAGGAAGTGCAGTGGGAGCCGCGGGATGGACCACAGGTGAGGTCGATCCCTCTTAGCAGCACAGCCTGGGGACGGGCCAGATAGGGTCTGGAGTCGCTATGGCTCCATCGCACTGAAACTACAGCTCCCAACAGCCTTTGGCCGTTCCAGCCGTAGCCTTCAGCATCCCGGAGATCCCTTAGAGTCTTAGGTTCCTCTCTAAGGGGCCCCAAGGGATCGTTTCCTCTAAAGATGTCCAAGGAAAGCTCGAGATCTGAATTTTTAAATTTTGAAATGGCCCCCAAACACGCCTGTGCGTTGTCTTTGAACTTTCTCTCGGAGGCGGAGTCCAGTGGATCCTGGGGCTTGTAGTCCATCTACCCTTCGCCTTCGTGTCCCCAAGAATTTATGGAAAATGCTCGGTGATAGAGTCTAGCCGCTGTTCTTAACCTGAGCTCCACCTCACTGTCACCTGGGACGCTGCGGAAAAGACCCGGAGGCTGAAGCCCCACTAACAGATATTCTGATTCTGTTGGTCTGGAATGGGAACCGCGCGTCTGTAACGTAGAAAAGCCCCTCCTAGACTGGATCCAGCACCGGCTGCCAGTTCCTGAGTTGCTCCCTGTTAAGACTGCTCCAAGGGCGGGCTCCCAGGACTCACGCTTCTACTGTTGCTATCCTGAATGTGCAGCGGTGCTTCATGGGAATAACAGTCCCTTTCCTCCAGGAATCTATGGGAGTTGTCTGGTTCTGCCCTCCTCTAGTGTTCCCCTCCCCAAGGCTGCAGCGAAACCACGTGCTGCCTGAACCCCACTTTCCTCTTGCAGCCTGCCAGTTTTCTCCATTCAAGAGAATCCCTTTGGAGGTACGCCCTTGGGTGGAAGCCACTACTGGCCATCCCGGAGTCAGACCTCGTGTCCCAAGGTGAGGACACCCCTCAAAGAGTGCTGAGTGCCAGCCCAGTAGCAAGAGAATGACCTCTAGAGGGTAGGAAGACATGTGATGAGAGATTTAAGAGACAGGCCCTTCTCCCCTCCCTATGGCCCTGGCCTTGTCTGCCTCTCTACCACCTGGATTCCCTTCTGAGCCCCCATCACCTGGATTCCCTTCTGAGCCCCCATCACTCTAGGTCATTATCATTATGAGATGAGTTTCCTCCCCTCTGAACTGAGAATTCGTGTGTGTCTTGGTGCCCCTGCAGGGATGATCCATCAGACCTCACACTTTTTCTTCTTCTGCTCTTCTCCCATCTTAGATCCTGAGCCCATCCAGGTCTCAGAGATCCAGGCTCCCACAAGCTCCCAAGGTTCCAGCCACAGGTCCCAACTCCCCTGAGCTGTCTGAGGAGTCCTGGCCATCCAGTTCAGGGACCCCTTCCCCACCCAGCACCACTGAGGGACAGATGGGGGCCTCCCCATCGCCCACCCTAATTGACAGTGGGGACTCCGTGGTGGCCAAGTAAGTACCAGCAGCCCTGGGGAAAAGGAGAGTTTGGGTTAGAGGGAGGGAGAAGGCACACAGCAATAATCGTCGTGGCCAGAGCTGTTTTCATGCAGCGCTTTTACAGGACCAGGCACTTTATGTGTGTTATTAAGAACTCTGGAACTAGACTGCCTGAGTTCAAATCCCAGCTCTGTCACTTACTCTCTGTATGATCTTGGCCGCAGTTTCTTTCTTTCTTTTTATTTATTTATTTAGAGACAGGGTCTCACTCTGTCACTCAGGCTAGAGGTCAGTGTTGCAATCACAGCTCACTATAACCTCAAACTTCTGGGCTCACATCATCCTCCCACCTCAGCTTCCGGAGTCTCTGGCGCATACCACCACACCCAGCAATCCTCCCACTTTGGCCTCCAAAAAGTGCTGTGATTACAGGCCGGATCTACCATGCCCAGCTTCAGTTTCTTGATCTCTAAATTGGTTTGTTTGTTTTTTTTTTTTTTTTTTTTTTTTTTGGCCAGAGTTTCATTCTTGTTGCCCAGGCTGTAGTGCAGTGGTGTGATCTCAGCTCACTGTAACCTCTTCCTCCTGGGTTCAAGTGATTCTCCTGCCTCAGCCTCCTGAGTAGGTGGGATTATAGGTACTCACCACCATGCCTGGCTAATTTTTTTGTAGTTTTAGTAGAGATGGGGTTTCACCATGTTGGCCAGGCTGGTCTCTAACTCCTGGCTTCAGGTGATCCACCCCCCTCAGCCTCCAGAAGTGCTGGAATTACAGGTGTGAGCCACTGCACCTGACCTAAATCAGGCATATGAATAGTATATATCTCCTAGGGCTGTTTTGAGCTTTCTTTTTTTTTTTTTTTTTTTTTTTTTTTTTTTTTTTTTTTTTTTTTTTTTTTTTTTTTTTTGAGATGGAATCTCTGTTAGCCAAGGCTGGAGGGCAATGGCAAGGTCTTAGCTCACTGCAACCTCTGCCTCCCAGGTTCAAGCGATTCTCCTGCCTCAGCCTCTGAGTAGCTGGGATTATAGGCGCCCACCACCATGCCCAGCTCATTTTTGTATTTTTAGTACAGACCATGTTGGCCAGGCTGGTCTCAAACTCCTGACCTCCTTGACCTCCCAAAGTATTGGGATTACAGGTGTGAGCAACCGTGCCCAGCCTGTTTTCAGCTTCCAGTGAGTCACTATATGTAATGATCTCTAGCAATGCCCCTCACATGGTGAGCACTTAGATTTGTAGAATACAGGTTCAGGTGCTGTAATAAAGAGTCCCAAGTTAATTATGGCTGAAACAAGATAGCATTTATTCTTCCCTCACCTGCAGTCCAGGCAGAAGCCACCAGGGATGATGTGGCAGCCGGTAGTTGTGTCAGGGACACAGGTTTCTTCTTTCTTGTTGCTGTCCCAATTCTAGGCCATTGCCCTTTCCTTCCTGGTACAGAATGGCTTTCAACCACATCGGCTTTCCAAAATCACATTTCATACCCTGTTTGTCAAGAACCTAGCCACGTGGCCACAAGGCTACAAGGGTACCTGGTAAACATAGTCCATAGAAGAACAGCTGTGTGCCCAGCTAAACGTTACTCCTGGATGGGCACAGTGGCTCATGCCTGTAATCCCAGCATTTTGGGAAGCCCAAGTGGGAGGATCGCTTGAACCCAGGAGTTTCCAGACCAGTCTGTGCAACATGCCGAGACCTCGTTTCTACTAAAAATATGAAAATACCACTGTTCAGCTAGGCGCGGTGGCTCACGCCTGGGAGACTGAAGCGGGTGGATCAGCTGAGGTCAGGAGTTCGGGGCCAGCCTGACCAACATGGTGAAACTCCATCTCTACTGAATTAGCCAGGCGTGGTATTGCACACCTGTAATCCCAGCTACTTGGGAGGCTGAGGCAGGAGAATCGCTTGAACCCCAGAGGCAGAGGTTGCAGTGAGCCGAAATTGCACCATTGCATTATAGCCTGGGCAACAAGAGCAAAACTCCATCTCAAAAATAAATAAAACAAAAATTAGCCGAGTGTGGTGGAATGCACCTGTTGTCCCAGCTACTCAGGAGGCTGAGGAGGGAGGATTTCTTGAGCCCAGGAGTTGGGGGCTGCAGTGAGCTATGATTGCACAACTGCCCCCAGCCTGGGTGACAGAGCAAGACCCTATTTCAAAAAGTTATGTGACTATAAGAAAGAAAAGCAGATATTAAGGGAGAGCTACCAGGCTTTGCCATGGTGCTTGGTAAATGGTGGCTGCCAAGATTACTATTATTTTCTTTTTTAAAGATGGAGTCTTGCTGTGTCACCAGGCTGGAGTGCAGTGGCCCAATCTCGGCTCACTGCAACCTCCACCTCCTGGGTTCAAGCGATTCTCCTGCCTCAGCCTCCCAAGTAGCTGGGACTACAGGCGCGCGCCACCATGCTCAGCTAATTTTTGTATTTTTAGTAGAGACAGGGTTTCACCATGTTGGCGAGGATGCTCTCGATCTCTTCACCTTGTGATCTGCCCGCCTCACCCTCCCAAAGTGCATGAGGCACTGTGTCTGGCCCACTGATTCTTCTTCTTCTTCTTTTTTTTTCTTTTTTTTTTGAGACGGAGTTTCGCTCTTGTTACCCAGGCTGGAGTGCAATGGCGCGATCTCGGCTCACCGCAACCCCCGCCTCCTGGGTTCAGGCAATTCTCCTGCCTCAGCCTCCTGAGCAGCTGGGATTACAGGCACGCGCCACCATGTCCAGCTAATGTTTTGTATTTTTAGTAGAGATGGGGTTTCACCATGTTGACCAGGATGATCGATCTCTTGACCTCGTGATCCACCCGCCTCAGCCTCCCAAAGTGCTGGGATTACAGGCTTGAGCCACCGTGCCCGGCTGATTATTCTTATAATTATTTGGCTCTCCTGACTCCACTCGCCTCCTACCCCTGATGTTCACAGGTATATAAACAGGTTCCGCCAGGCTCAGCCCACCAGCCGAGAGGAGCGCCAGCCTGCAGGCCCAACCACAGCTGACTTTTGGTGGCTGCGGCCTGACCCTCCAGACCCCAGCAGTCAAAATGCAGCAGGTACCTCCTTCCGTGCCATCTACCACCCCCACCCCTAAACCTTTGCAGGTCAGTGCCCCCAGCAGCCACTCCTCCTGGCCCTCATACCTCAACTGGGGATTCACAGCAGGAGCCAACAAACCAGAAAGAAGACCCCATACAGCTGTCCCTACTGCGGCCAAGGTGACCAGTGCATCCCAGGCTGTGGCTCCTCTTCAGGAAATAAAGCAGGTGACATCATTCACTCCCTCCCTGATGTGCCTGAACTGACAGCACCAGCCCTGGGTTAGAATTAGAAGATCAGGAGCGGTGGCTCACACCTGTAATCCCAGCACTTTGGGAGGCCCAAGTGGGAGGACTGCTTGAGGCCAGGAGTTCAAGACCAGCTTGGGCAACATGGTGAGATCCTGCCTCCACTAAAAAAAAAAAGAGAGAGAGAGCCAGGTGTGGTGGTGTGCACTGTAATCCCAGCTACTTGACAGCCTGACGCTGGAGGATTGCTTGAGCCTAGGAGTTCAAGGCTGCAGTGAGCTATGATTGCACCACTGCACTCTAGCCTGGGCAATACAGCAAGACCCTGTCTCTATTTAAAAAATAAAAAAGGCCGGGCACGGTGGCTCATGCCTGTAATCCCAACACTTTGGGAGGCCAAGGCAGGCGAATTTTATGAGGTCAGGAGTTCAAGACCAGCCTGGCCAACATGGTGATACCCGATCTTTACTAAAGATACAGAAAGTGAGCCTGGTGACACAGCAAGACTTCATTTTAGGCCGGGCACGGTGGCTCACGCCTGTAATCCCAGCACTTTGGGAGGCTGAGGCGGGTGGATCACGAGGTCAAGAGATCGAGACCATTCTGGTCAACATGGTGAAACCCTGTCTCTACTAAAAATACAAAAATTAGCTGGGCATGGTGGCACACACCTGTAGTCCCAGCTACTTGGGAGGCTGAGGCAGGAGAATTGCTTGAACCCAGGAGGTGGAGGTTGCAGTGAGCCAAAATCGCGCCATTGCACTCCAGCCTGGGTAACAAGAGCGAAACTCCATCTCAAAAAAAAAAAAAAGTCCATCTTAAAAAAAGAAAAAAATAGTAATCTTGGCAGCCACCATTTACCAAGCACCACGGCAAAGCCTGGTAGCTCTCCCTTAATATCTGCTTTTCTTTATTATACAGTCACATAACTGTTTTTGAAATAGTGTCTTGCTCTGTCACCCAGGCTGGAGGGCAGTTGTGCAATCACAGCTCACTGCAGCCCCCAACTCCTGGGCTCAAGAAATCCTCCCTCCTCAGCCTCCTGAGTAGCTGGGACGACAGGTGCATTCCACCACACTCGGCTAATTTTTGTTTTATTTATTTTTGAGATGGAGTTTTGCTCTTGTTGCCCAGGCTAGAATGCAATGGTGCAGCCGTCACCTCCTGCGTATCTGGGACTACAGGGATGCACCACCGTGCCCAGCTAATTTTTTGGGTTTTTTTTGTAGAGATGAGGTCTTATTTGTGTCCAGGCTGGTCTCAAATTCCTGGACTCAAGCAATTCTCCTGCCTCAGCCTCCTAAAGTGCTGGGATTGCAGGCATGAGCCCTGGCACCCACCTCTGTGCTCCTCTCTTGGGCTCAGCCCCAGGTGGGCTTTCTCCTCACAGTAGCCAGGGTGGCCCTTAGGGTCTCTAGGCTCCCATGGTCCTAGCTCAGTGACTCCACTGGAAAGTGGGGACTTTTCTGATTGCTCCATCCAAAGTCCCAGGGCTCACTGTGATTCACTCATCCTTGAGCCAACCACTGTGAACCAGAAGACAGAATGTTCTGATGAATCAGCTCTGATCTGGAAGGTGGGATCCATCCTACTCCAACTGTGATTTGTCCATGAAAGGTACTGATCCACCAGGCGCAGTGTCTCATGCCTGTAATCCCCAGCACTTTGGGAGGCTGAGGCAGGCGGATCACCTGAGGTCGGGAGTTTGAGACCAGCCTGACCAACATGGAGAAACACTGTCTCTACTAAAAATACAAAATTAGCCAGATACGGTGATGCATGCCTGTAATCCCAGCTACTTGGGAGGCTGAGGCAGGAGAATCACTTGAACCTGGGAGGCAGAGGTTGCAGTGAGCTGAGATCCCACCATTACACTCCAGCCTGGGCAACAAGAGCGAAACTCTGCATCTCAATTAAAAAAAAAAAAAGGGCTGATCCAAAGGGGAAAACTGGGTCTCTCTTCCCTGAGGAGGAGGAGCAGATTCTAAGCCGGCACATGAGGTTACCAAGGGCGGTACAACCTGCACTCCAGGCCCTCTGTTTAAAACCCCTTTCCCAGCAGCCTTTGGGTGGGGGCTGGCCTCTGACCCTCTCACCCTGCAGAACCTCAACACATGGAACTCATCCCTGCTGGACCTGGAGACGCTGAGCCTACAGAGCAGAGCTGCCAGGCTGCTCAAACGCAGGTGCCTGCACCCCGCCCCCAGCACGCTTCCCACCCTTCCCACTGCAGCTCCACCTGGCCCAGGTCTTGAGACCTCCATTGCCTCACTCTTGCCTTCTCCTTGCAGCAAAGCCTCCATCTCCTCCTCCTCCTCCCTCAGCCCCAGCGATGCCAGCACTTCCTCATTCCCCACCAGCTCCAACGAACTCTCTCCCTTCTCAGAGACCTTCATCCCTGACTCAAGCAAGGGCCCTGGCCCCAGGGCACCTGGTAAGGGCTGGGAAGCAAGGGCTGAGGGAAGCCTGGGTGCAAATCTCAGCTCTGCCACTGACCATCTGTAGGACTATGGGCCTCTCCGGGCCTTGTTTCTATAGCTGTAAAACAGGGATAATAAGGCCGGGTGCAGTGGCCCACACCTGTAATCTCAGCACTTTGGGAGGCCGAGGTGGGTGGATCACCTGAGGTCAGGAGTTCGAGACCAGCCTGGCCAACATGGGGAAACCCCATCTCTACTAAAAAAAATAACAAGTAGCTGGGCGTGGTGGCAGGCGAATGTAATTCCAGCAGCTTGCAAGGCTGAGGCAGGAGAATTGCTTGAACCCAGGACACAGAGGTTGCAGTGAGCCAAGATTTGTACCATTGCCCTCCAGCCTGGGCAACAGTTCAAGACGGTCTCAAAAAAAAAAAAAAGAAAAGAGGACTAGGCGTGGTGGCTCATGCCTGTAATCCCAACACTTTGGGAGGTGGGTGGATCACGAGGTCAGGAGTTCATGACTAGCCTGGCCAACATGGTGAAACCTGTCTACTAAAAATACAAAAATTAGCTGGGTGTGGTGGCATGCATCTGTAGTCCCAGTTACTCAGGAGGCTAAGGCAGAAGAATTGCTTGAACCCAGGAGACAGAGGTTGCAGTGAGCTGAGATCTCGCCACTGCACTCCAGCCTGGGTGACAGAGCAGGAGTCCATCTCAAAAAAAAAAGTGGTGCCATCATAGTCCAATTCCTGGGCTCAAGCGATCTTCGCACCTCAGCCTCCCAAATAGCTGGGACTGCAGGTATGCACCACTATACCCAGCTAATTGTTTTATTTGTTGAGATAGGGTCTCACTATGTTGCCCAGGCTGATCTCGAACTCCTGGGCTCAAACGATCCCCTGGCCTTGGCTCCCCAGAGCGCTGGGATTACAAGAATGAGCCATCATTAGGCACAGCTGGTTGTTGCAGTTTTGAATAGGGAAGCCTGGGAAGGTGCCCGAGATCTGAGGGATGTGAGAGAATCCACCATGTGATACATGAAGGAAGAGTGTTCTAGGCAGAGGGAGCCACAGGTGTAAAAGGCAAAGCCTTTGCCTTTCACCAGGAGAGAGGTGCAGCCACGGGAGGGTTCTTAAGCATCGAGGGGCCTGGTCCAACTCAGGCATTCACAGGCTCCCTCTGGCTGAGAGTAGGGAACAGATTCAGAGGAGAGGAGAGAAACCAGGGAGGCTGCTTGAGAGTCCAGGTGGAGTGAGTGGGGCTGGAGCAGGGTGAGGGCTATAGGGGGTGGGGGAGTGGGTGAATTCGGGGAGTGTCTGCTCACTACTGTAACTCCAGCGTCCAGAACAGCTCAATAAATATCTGTTGAATGAGATCAGGCACTGTGGCTCACACCTGTAATCCCAGCACTTTGGGAGGCCCAGGTGGAACGATGGCTTGAGCCCAGGAGTTTGAGACCAGCTTGGGCGACAAAGCAAGACCCTGTCTCTACAAAAAAAGTAAAAATTACCCCTGTGTGGTGGCGCATGCCTGTAGTCCCAGCTACTCAGTAGGTTAAGGCAGGAGAATCGCCTGAGCCCAGGAGGTTGAGCTCGGTGACAGAACAAGACCATACACATATATATATGATGAACAAAGACTTGAACGATGACAGGTGGAGAAGCCCAGGAGCGCTCACTCCCCAGACTTTGACCCCTTCCTGTCTTCCCACTCTAGAGCCTGTCTGAGTAACCCCTGCACATTCGGCGGGCATGTGTGCAGGCTGTCACAGGGCTGCTGATCTCCCTGGCCCCTGCCTCACCCTCTCCTCTCTACCTCCCTTCCCCTACAGCATCCCCGGCACCAGCCCAGGCCCAGACCCCTACCCCTGCTCCAGCCCCAGCCTCCTCCCCAGCACCCCTTCGGCCAGAGGATGACATTCTGTACCAGTGGCGGCAGCGGCGGAAGCTTGAACAGGCTCGGGGAAGCAAGGGTGGTGGAGCCTGGGTGCTGCCTGGGACCCCTGCCCTCCAGACTCTGGTGAGTCGGGGGAAGGAGGAGCCTGGGGGGAGCTGGAGGACAGGGTGGGTCTGAGGGGAACCGAGGGCGCTTGGCCCTCTCTCCATCTCAGATCTCTCTTCCTATCTGTCCACAGACCTCTCCTGCTCCAGTGGAGACCCTCAGTTCTCTGGGAAACCAGCCTAACCACATCCCACCGCAGAGCAGTGTGGCCCAGCCTGGTCCACCCGAGGTCTTCTATGTGGAGAGGCCTCCCTTTCCCTCTGTGTCCTCTCCACATATCTTTTGGGCCCCTAGCCCCCACGGGTTCTGGGCCCCACAATCTGGGCCTTGGGTATCCCTCGGGGCTGTGCCTCCCATGCATCTGGCCTCCACCCTAGCGCCTCTGGCCTCCACCCTCCCACCCCTGGCCTCCACCCTCCAAACCCCAGCCTCCACCCCAGCTCCTCTGGTCTCTACCCCAGCACCTCCAAACTCCACCCCCACACCCCCAGCTGTCCCCCAAGGCTTTCCCATCCCTGAGCCAAGCAGCTCCGCTCAGCCTAAAAGCCTGGGTCCCAAGTCTAGGAGGAGCAGAGCCCTTCCCCAAGAGGCTGCCGAGCCGGTCCCTGAAGCTGGCCAGGGGCCTGGCCCTCAGCTCAGGGGTGTCCTGGGCCAGGTAGTGGCAGCTCGGCTGTTCCCTGACAGCCTGGAGGACCCGCCTCCTCACCTCAAGGGCCCACTTCCACACGAGGCTGGATCTCTGAAAGTCAAGACCATACAACCCCAAACCAAGGTCACTCCCCCTCCATCTGAATCCCAGTGTCGGTCCAAGGGCATGCCACCCGCAGCAGGGTCAGTGACCTGGAAGGCCGAAGCCACTTCTTCCCTTGGAGCATGCCTACAGCCTGAGGTCCCACCCACTCCAGCAGAGCTGACATCCGCAGTCGAGGCCAGGCTGCCTACCTTCCAGACTGGGTCCCCGGAGGCCCCGGCCCCGCCCCCGCCCGCTGCTCACCATACCCCCTCAGAGGCCCTGCTCGCCCAGGCAGCCCAGCTGCTGGAGGCTGCAGAAGGTGATGCCCGCGCCCTCCGGGATGTTGGTGGTGGGCCAACCTGTGAAGTGGCCAGCCCCCCAGAGCTCATTCTTCTCCCTGTGACTGCCCCCTCAGACTCTGATGGCAGTGAGTTCCAGGACGATCCTGTGCTCCAGGTGCTAAGAGCCCAGAGGGCAGAGCTGAGTCGGCAGAAAAGGTAACCGACCCTCCCCTCCCTCCCCAGCGTCTATGACACTGGGCCCCCGAGTCCTCTGAGACCCAGTTAGGCACCCACCCCTCCTCATCCCTTGTCCCAGCACTCCATCCACAGCCCCAGATCCTAAGCCTCAGCACCTACTCCAGTCTCTGCTCTCCCGGCTTTTCTCCAGGGAAGCAGACGCCCTATTTTTGTTCCTGTTGAACCAGGCCAAAGACCCAGGATCTTGGTCCCCTCCAGCCAAGTCGCCCCCCAGGTCCCCAAGGAGGCTGCTACGAAGGGAAGGAGCTTCCCTGGATGCCAGACGACTTTGAATTGTACAGATTCTAGATTCTGTTTTATCCAGTGAGGTCTTTTGTTGTTGTTGTTGTTGTTGTTACTGGTTATCTGTGAGAAACGGGTTGTTTTGGAAAGGCCAAGGGGTCATGCCAATTAAGGAAATGCCCCCTGCCCTCCGCTGCCCCATGGCTCTGTCCTGCCCCACCCCCACTCTCTTTCTTGACCACGGAAACAAGATCTCCCTTCTGGGCCTCCTTGGGGGAGAGGTTTCAGGCAAGACTTTGGGCAAGACTGGGACCCACCTTATCTGACTTCACTCAGGATTCCTGGCTCAAATGGGACCAAAGGACTGTCCTCTGGGGAAGAAGCTGCTAGGGTCATCGGAGTGTTCAATGATGGTCAGTCCACAGCCCACACCAGCTTGAGCAGCAGCAGCATCTACTGCAGCTCACCCCTCCCTCCTTGAAGCACATTCTCTCCTGCTTCCAAAACTTCCCTGCACCCCTCTGGTCGGGCCTCGTCACTGGCCCAGCGTGTCAACTTTGCCATGACCCAGAGCCACAGCGCTGACTTGTCTATCTATACCCACCAGTAGATTCTCCTGCCTAGCTTCATGACTCTAAACCCCATCTCCATTCTGATGGGCCCCCAATTTCTATCTGTAACCTAGACCTGGCCATGGAATCTTGGGCTCCTACCTCATCACCATTTCTACCCAAGGGCTTGAAAGACATCTCCAATTCCATAGGTCCTAAATGGAGTCAGTCTTTCCCCCTAAGCATGCCCCTCCCAACTTTCTTCAGCTCTGTCCTTTGCCGTTAGAGTTGCCTTTGACTTCTGTCTTTCCCTTCCACCCACAGTTAACCTGTAGATCCTGCCATCTCCAACTTTATCTTGTTTTATTTTGAGACAGAGTTTCACTCATGTTGCCCGGGCTGGAGTGCAGTGGCACAATCTTGGCTCACTTCAACTTCCACCTCCCGGGTTCAAGCAAGTCTCCTGCCTCAGCCTTCCGAGTAGCTGGGATTACAGGCGCCCACCACCATGCCTGGCTAACTTTTTATTTTTTTTTAATTTTTATTATTATTATTATTTTTTTTTTTGAGAGGAAGTCTCGCTCTGTCACCCAGGCTGGAGTGCAGTGGCTCGATCTCAGCTTACTGCAACCTCCGCCTCCCAGGTTGAAGCGATTCTTCTGCCTCAGTCAAAAGGGAGAAGCAGTTGAATTCTGGATAGATTTTAAAGGTGGAGGCCAGGCATGGTGGCTCACACCTGTAATCCCGGCACTTTGAAAGGCCGAGGCTGGTGGATCACCCGAGGTCAGGAGTTCGAGACCAGCCTGGCCAACATGGTGAAACCCCATTTCTACTAAAAATGCAAAACAAAAACAAATGCTGGGCAGGGTGGCTCACGCCTGTAATCCCAGTACTTTGGGAGGCTGAGGTGGGCAGATTACTTGAGGTCAGGAGTTCAAGACCAGCCTGGCCAACATGGTGAAACCCTGTCTCTACTAAAAGTACAAAAATTAGCTGGGCATGGTGGTAGGTGCCTTTAATCCCAGCTACTCAGGAGGCTGAGACAGGAGAATCTCTTGAGCTCAGGAGGCAGAGGTTGCAGTGAGCTGAGATTGCACCACTGCACTCCAGCCTAGGTGACAGAGTGAGACTCCACCTAAAAAAAAATTAATTTCTCTCTCTCTCTCTCTCTCTCTCTCTCTCTCTCTCTCTGTCTCTGACACTTGCTTTAGAGGCCATGTTTAAAAAACTGGTTGCCATGCTGGGGAGAGGTTTGGGTTACACAGGTGTATGCACTTACCAAACTTAGTGAAGTGTGTGAATTTCATTGTATGTAAAGTTTACCTCAAAAGAAAATATTGAACTCCAGTTAAAGATAACGCCTGTAATCCCACTTCTTTGGGAGGCTGAGGCAGGAGGATCACTTAAGGACAGGAGAGCACCCTGGGCAACACAGCAAGACCCCATCTCATTATTTATTTACAAAAATAAATAAGTAAATAGGTTTGGGGGCACATGATGTGTAGTCCCAGCTACTCGGAGTGAGGGGCGCATGCTGAGGTGAGAGGTTTACTTGAGCACAGGAGTTAAGGCTGCATTGTCCCTGTCTTTAAAAAAAGAAAAGTATGTACACTAAAATATTTAGGGAGCAATGTACCAATGTCTGCAATGTAGGTTGAAATGTATCCAGAGATGAGTTGGGTTGATAGGCAAATAGGGTAATAGGAAGGTGTGAGATAATGCAAATATAGCAAAATGTTCATGGCAGAACCTAAGTAGTAGATATGTGGGTGTCCACTGTAAAACTTTTCAACTTCGCTGTATGTTAGAAACGTTTCATAATAAAATGACGGGGAATATATGACTGGAGTTGTTTGATATCTGCATTTACAAAACGGAGGGGTAAGATGGAGTTCTAGTAACTTCTGTATGGCACAGATATAGTAAATACCTGTCTGCAACCTTGGTTTTTTTTTCTTTTGGAGACAGAGTCTCTGTCACCCAGGCTGGAGTGCAGTGGTGTGATCTCGGCTCACTGCAACATCCGCCTCCCAGGTTTAGGCGATTCTCCTGCGTCAGCCTTCTGAGTAGCTGGGATTACAGGCACATGCCACCATCCCCAGCTAATTTTTTTTTTTTTTTTGTATTTTTAGTAGAGACAGTGTTTCACCACGTTGGTGAGGCTGGTCTCAAACTCCTGACCTTGTGATCTGCTTACCTCAGCCTCCCAAAGTGTTGGGATTACAGGTGTGAGCCACCACACCCAGCCTGTTTCCAACCTTTCTAAACAAACCATACATTTTTTTTCCCCAATATATCCATAGTCACCTTTATTCTGAATTAACCATTTATCAAGAGTGCACCTTTGTTGGGGGTGGGGGGGGAGGGGTGGGGGTGGCTCACATCTGTAATCCCAGCACCTTAGGAGGCTGAGGTGGGCAGATCACAAGGTCAGGAGATCGAGACCATCCTGGCCAACATGGTGAAACCCCATCTGTCTTTAAAATGCAAAAGGTAGTCAGGCATGGTGGCACACCCCTGTAATCCCAGCTACTGGGGAAGCTGAGGCAGGAGAATCACTTAAACCCAGGAGGCGAAGGTTACAGTAAGCCGAGATCATGCCACTGCACTCCAGCCTGGTGACAGAGCAAGACTCCGTCTAAAAAAAAAAAAAAAAAAAAAAAAAGTGCAACTGAAAAGAGTAGAAAAAATAAAGGAGTCCATCAAAAAAAAGTTCCCTGGCAAGTGGGAGGGAGGGCATGATGTTAGGAGCCCTGTTTGGGAAAGGAAGTGTCCGGATCATGAATGCCATTTTTGTCAATGATTCGAACACTGAAGGTTGGCAGATTGAGAAGGAAGCGTTTCTGGAGTTCCTCCAGACATTTCCTAAACAGCTCCACTGCCCTCTCACATGAGCTAGTCGGTCTGTAGTATTGGTCCAGGATACTGAGAGTCAGGAAGGCACTATAGCCATGGGCTGCCAAAGGAGCCTTGGCCAAGGCTGCCAGCTAGTCCACGTAGTAGAACGCTGGCCCTTCATGCTCATCATAGCCAGCCAGGAGGAGGTTCACATGATACGGGGTCTGACTCCAAGGACAGCCAGGTTTCCGTGTGTGAAGTTAGTTGCTGCCGTGGGAGACAGTTCATACCCATTTCGAATCTTATAAAGCAGCACTTTTTCCTGAATATATTCTGCAAACTGTGTGTTTCCAGCCTTTCCAATACACAGGAGTAATATTTTCTCGCTCATCTTAAACATCTTGTCATGATTGTCCTTCATCTGGACAATATTGCTGGTGGCCACCCGGTCGGAGGTGACAATAGCATAGTTGGGGCCTTGGATACTGATGAGGTACTCCACAGTGGCCAGAGGCCAGAGGCTGTGGGTCAGACAAAGCGCAACACTCGCCAACTTCCTGGTCTCACCAGTGAGAAGGCATCTCTGAGTGAAGCTTGGTGGGATACTGGCCATGTGACTTACAAATGATACATTTAAATGAAATCAGGGTGGTCACAGTAGCTCACACCTGTAATCTCAGCACTTTCAGAGGCTGAGGTGGGCGGGTCACTTGAGGTCAGGAGTTCGAGACCAGCCTGGATAACATAGTGAAACCTTGTGTCTACTAAAAATACAAAAATTAGCTGTGCGTGGTGGTGGGTGCCTGTAGTCCCAGATACTCGAGAGGCTGAGGCACAAGGATCGCTTGAACCCAGGAGTCAAGAGGCTGCACTGAGCTCAGATGGCACCACTGCACTCCAGCCTGGGCAACAGAGTGAGACTTTGTCTCAAAAACAAACAAAATAAATGAAATTGACAAGGAAAATATCGTTTATAAGGAGAAATAAAAGATGTTTACAGTAGCAGAACCTGATCTAGCTGTGGCACAGGTGGGGTCTAGAAGTATTCCTGATGAAGTTACACTTGAGCTGAGACAGGTAGAAATTATCTAGTTAACAAAGGACTGTCCTAATTAGTCTTGTTGGATAAGAAACTGTCCCCAAAACTTAGTGGCATAAAACATTTTATTATGCTCATGGAATCTGGGAGTTAGAGGTTTGGACAGAGCTCAGTTGGGGACAATTTTTGTCTGCTCCATGATGTCTGGGGATTCAACTAGGAAGACTAAAAGGTGACTCGATGGACTTGATGGCTGTGGAGTGGAATCCCCAGGAACTTCTTCCATGGTCTTCTCCCAGTCTTACTGGGTCTATTGAGTGTTATGCCTGTACATAGCTCCATTAGCTTGGGCTTCTTCAGAGCATGGCTGCCTCAATATAGTCATACTTTGCATATGATGTACTATGCTTCTATAGCTCATTCCAGTGGACAAGAACATTGGTCAAGCAGCTGCATTGCCTTTGATTGCATAGCCTTGGAAATCGCTGTGTCATTTCCACTGTTTTCTGTTGGTTGAAGCTATCCCAGTCCCTCCCAGTCTCATAGAAAGCAGTCATAGATCGGGTGGCCTTGGTGGCTCATGCCTGTAATCCCAGCACTTTGGGAGGTCGAGGTGGGTGGATCACCTGAGGTCAGGAGTTCAAGACCAGCCTGGCCAATGTGGTGAAACCCCACCTCTACTAAAAGTACAAAAATTAGCCAGGTGTGGTGGTGCACGCCTGTAATCCCAGCTACTTGGGAGGCTGAAGCAAGAGAATCACTTGAACCCGGGAGGTGGAGGTTGCAGTGAGCCAATATCGCCCCACTGCACTCCAGCCTGGGCGACAGAGTGAGATTCTGTCTCATTAAAAAAAAAAAAAAAGCAGTCATAGATTCCATGTCTTGATAAGAAGAGTGTCAGAGAATTTGCAGATGTTTTAAAATCACTGCAGGACCTCATTCTCCATGATGCGATCATTACACATTGCATGCCTATATCAAAACATCTCATGTATCCCCACAATATATGTTCCTAAATATACCTATTATGTACACTGAAAAATTAAAAAATAGAAAATCATTGCAGCGGTGGATGGGGAAACACTCCAGGCAGAGGGAACATCATGTGGGAGATCCCTGTGATGGGAGTGAGGTCAGCAAATTCAGTATATAACTGTACATCCACCCCTCCCTCAGCACTCCCTTTCCTCAGCCCCTGCTTAGTTATTCTCCAAAGAATGACTCATCTTCTAATATTACTTTTTTTTTTTTTTTTTTTTGAGATGGAGTTTCACTCTTGTTACCCAGGCTCGAGTGCAATGGCGCGATCTCGGCTCACCGCAACCTCCGCCTCCTGAGTTCAGGCAATTCTCCTGCCTCAGCCTCCTGAGTAGCTGGGATTACAGGCACGCGCCACCATGCCCAGCTAATTTTTTGTATTTTTAGTAGAGATGGGGTTTCACCATGTTGACCAGGATGGTCTCGATCTCTTGACCTCGTGATCCACCCGCCTCGGCCTCCCAAAGTGCTGGGATTA